GTAAAACATATTGACTTATTTTTCTCTGTAATATTCATATCAATTATAATTGAATAATCATTATGTCATTGAAGAAGAAAAAGTAATAGGAGAAGAGAAAGGTGATTGAGAGGTGAAAATTTTCTTCTTAATGGTATCATTTTCTTAAAGCTGTACACTCATATTTATAATGATTATAGAAAGATATTACGTCATAAAATGTTCATAGATTTCATGTACTAAAGGACGACTAAGTAATGATCTAGCAATGAAGGAAGAATAAACAATGATGGATAGTGGCTATTAGTGGAATCCAGAGTTGGTGGACATGGAGAGTCAACCTAGGGGAGTTGAGAAACTCTGATTCCAACCCAATGGTGTACATGGACTCCAAATTTCCAAGGGAACAAATGGCATATGAACATATTGTTGGTCACCGGTTACCATGGGACTGCATCTCCTCACGTTGCTCCGCTGTCATGTGGATCAGACCTTTAGGTTGAAGGCTCGGGGTGTTACCCTATAAGAGAACTACCTGCTTCAGGTTGGGCACTCAGGCAGTATACCAGCCCTCACACAAATCGAATGGTTTATGTGGCACATATCTATTTTGTGCCTCCTTGTAATAATGTTAATGGGTTTAAATAAAATAAAATCAATATCCACCACGAGATTCGAACCCTGTGCCATCCGCGTCAAACACCATCACCTTGTCCACTTAGCTACTGAGTCCTGAATCCCTCTCATATGTTAATAAGAGACTGATCAATTGTAGTCTTTAACATCAATGAGAAGATTCAAACAAACACTACAAAATGAAGAATAGTAAGATGAAAATGAAACTTTAAGTAAATGATATCGTTGAAAAGCAAGTTTTCTTATCTCCATCGCTTCTTTCTTCTTCAACGGATAATCAATATCAAAATCTTTACTAATCAATTTGTAACTTACATGATCTTATGATACCAATAGAATAGAATGGATTCTAAGACGAATTACAGTAATCCCTAATAATCTGTTAACATTAATTACATAATTCAGGTTAGAAATCTCATATAGGCTGATTACGTCACAATTTGTATAAGGTGATAATATACTTTTATAACCATTCGACAAATTGACATGAATTTCACTCCATCAATATGTTCGACATGGAAGTGAGACCATACAGCAGTTTACAACTATGACCTAATCCAGAACTGATCCTAAAACCTTTAAGTCTTGTGGATAGCAAGCAATTTGGAAGACTCTACTGGTCTCCCACATTGTATAGCTATTCCATGTATCTAAATTAATGGTTGCTTTGGTTTGCAGAGAGAGCATCAGCATCGTGAGTTCCAAAGGAATTCGTCTTTCAACATGATACGTTATAACTCTTCTAACTGAAAACCTTCTAAATACCAGGGAAGAGTTTAAATGGTTTGAATTATTTTTTATGGTTAGCGTTTTTTTTAGTGAGTTAGTATTTTACAGGATAAGGTCGCTAACCCCATGCTCAACCATCCTTCATTATCCGGGCATGGGACCGGCAGTAGTCTCAGAAGGACTCAAGGCAGAGTTTCTTATAGAAAGAGTGATACTTTACTCGTAATTCAGAATCCTCATTTATTGTTGCTAATGAATGAAAGTCAGACTAGAAATAATTCATTCCATAGGTTATATATCACACATGAAATCCCTTGTTAAGTTATAACTACCTAAAGTTTGTGCTGATAATGTCATTCAAAAGAACGATAAAAGCTCCACAATCAAACTATCCAGATCAGAGAACAAAACTCCATCAAAAAGCTATTTTTACAGTTTAAAACTGAGATGAAATAGATACCCAGTACACCGTTTGTTTGATTGTATGTTCTCAAAAAAAAAATAATAATTTTCCAGTTTTGATCCATGGAATTCAAAATGGAAAACATTGATAATGTTCATTGATTACCTAGTTACAATCTTTATTTGAATTTCATCCACCACAAAAAAAAACAAAAAAAAATTTATATAAATCTATAGTGAATTATCAAAGTTCATTATCACAGTTCTATTCAATGGGTGGTCTAGACATTGTATCCATAACTTACATATATATGTAATACATTCAATTCAATATTACAATGAATAGAAATTAATGTTTAAAGGTGAAATAATATAATAAAACAATACTTGATAGATTTAAACTTTTTTTAAAAATTAGGATTAGTTAAGTATATGATCGAGATCATGAATAAATCGATGTTAGATCATGATTGAAAACAAAGAAGCACTGGATGATTGTTTCGTCCTAATGTGAGACTATTCAGTAGTGCGCATCTACGATCATGCCTCGCAAGATTTGAACCCAGGATCTACGAGTGCTTAATCATTAAACCATTGAACCGGCCAGTATCCAACAGTGTTAATATCTAACTTTAACCAATCCATGAAATTTCGTAACCATCTTTCATTGTACTCAGGTAGATACCTGTCTCTATCGGACATTGGATTAGTTCCACTGATCACGATTTCTCACTAGAACTCCTAGACTTCCCTAACGAAGCTTGTCACTAATGAGTACATGGTAATTATCGGTATGAAATTGTGGAGAATATTAAGTTTTTGATTGAGATCACAAACTGATTAATGTAAGATCACTATTAAAAGCCTGAAAGCACTGGATGGATGATCATGATCTCAATCAAAAACATAATAATCTTCACAACCCTATACTATCCATTTAAGTATATTGAAAACATATTACTATTATTAGTATAGAAGGTTTGTTAAAATTGTTCATTTTGTAGATTACATCATAGACTAGTAACTATTGATAAGCTTGAATTATTTAACATATATATATATAGTCAAGGTATAAAAACTATCGACATTATACACCGACAGTAGCATTAGTAATTAAACCACAGACCTCCAGATCATCAAATAAGGATATGAGATTTCAACTACAATGTAAGTATTCAATGGTTCACATTGATAAACTTAGTCGATTCAATATGTATTATGAACAAAACAAAACTAAACTATAATATATATATATATATATCATGACATATTCAGATTTCAATAAACAAAACTTATTCATTCAAAGTAGTATCCATAAGAAATGTATTTTATATTTCTATTAGAATCATTCAAATAGTATATATCTAAGGTTCTATCCTGAATTTTAAAAAAAATGCATAATTATCAGTATAGGATTATAGATTGATTTAAAATCATGAACCGATCAATGTTAGATCATCATTGAAAACACAGGATTCGGACCTATATCTTTCAGTGTTGTGAGAATGATATTGTACGATCATTTTTCATTGTCTTAGATAGATAACTGCTTCACACCTGGATAACTGTTATGAAGAGTTCAAACAATGAACGATCTTATTAACAATCCTCAATTCCTTTATACGTCTAGAAAATCTATACGAGAATTTGTATTCTTGTCAAAAGTTTATCAATCACAAGAACCTATCAAAGTTACTAAAGTTTTCAAAGTAAAGAAGGTGATCAATTCATTCAATTAGTCTACTCCTTGTAAATCAAATAGAAATCGATTCAAACTTAAATCGAATTGAAATGATTCAAATTATCATGTTATTGGTATTTTTAACTGGAATTTGATCACTCATGATTAACGTTAAAGTATTCCGTTCAGATTGCTTCGATATAGATTTTATAATACAACTTAAGATAGAATAGATGGAATGTGTTTAGTAGTGGGATGCAAGAAGCCAAGTTCCATTTTATCAAGAACTAGTTAGTTGAATGTGCCTGCATCTCAGAGTTGATTTTCAAATTTCAATTAAAAGTGTTAGTAACGGGATAATCTAAACCATTTGCACAAGTAAGTAGCTATCTAGGTTCAATAGCTAAATGGACAGCATGATGGCTTATGAAGCAAACGGCAATGGGTTCGAGTTCCGGATACATGTACACCCAACTGATGAATCTCAAATAATGCTCCATTGCTAACCACAATCTATCTATTTTTCATCCATTCAAACTATTATTGGCAGTTTTCTGTTCAATCAGAAATAAATTTATTTTTAAAGCCCTTTCACACTGTCAATCCAAAGTATTTCAAATGATAATTAATTACAAACGAATTATAAAATGAACTGATCTCCTTCGAAATTCCTAAGAAGACTTACCGACTGGACACTACCGAAATATATTGAAACGAGTTCCCGAGTTTCTCATTGAATGTTATGACTGTGATGTTCAATCATCTTGAGGATGAGACATTTATTACCATTAGAAATGAATGTTTCTCGTTTTATATGATCAATGATACGAAATTAGAAATATGGAGTACTGAGTACTAACTTGTTATTCTAAAGGTTGAACTGTCGCTACAAGACTTGAAGACCTTGAGTCGTGGATAAAAAATTCTATACAAGACAGAAACAGCTACTCGTTACTTCCCGATAGACAATAGTACACTAAATGACTTCAGTTCTCGGCAAAAATTTATCCTTATCCCAAACTTATTTCACGAAAACGGTCAAGCAGATAAAATAAACTGAGGTTGTGAACCGATCAATATCAGACCACTATAACATACACGGATGCATCGGACTGCTGTTTTGCCCTAATACGGAACTTTCCAGTAGTGCCCATTCATGGCTCTGCACCAAAGAGACTCGAACCTACCATCCCAAGTCTCGCGTGCAAACACTTAACCTTTACACCACTGAACCATCGAGATTGTGGTTGGGCACTAATGAGGAGTCTCATAGTAGGACTAAACGGCCGTCTATTGCTTCCAGGTTCTCAGCAGTGGACTAACCATGATCGGCTCATAATCTCAATTATAACTCAGCAATCTCTACGGAATCGTGGATGAACACTGTTGAGAAGTCCTACAATAGGACGAAACGTCCATCCAGTGATTCCTTATTTTCAACATTGATCTAACATTAATCAGTTCATGATCTTAATCAAAAACTTAATAATCTTCACAATTTCATACTGTTAATTCAAACCATTTACACTTTCATTTTCTTTTATGTTTATTATTTTTAATTATTTTAATGTAGTCTATTCAAACAATACGATGATATTCAATGGTCAATAGATGAAAAAACAGAAATAAATGAAACAAATGAAATAATAAACAATGGTAAGTTAAATGGTATATATAATTTTTTTTAAGCAAAGATGGAAAATGGCTAGCAGTGGAATCCAGGACGCACGACACTTCGTCTTATTTAGGACTGGTCAGCTGGATGTACCTGTATTCCAGAGTTGATGTTCACTCCAGGACTCGAACCCAGTACCGTTCACTTCAAGCGTCATCGCGTTATCCACTTAGTTACTGAGTCCTGATAACCATCTAATGGTTTTTAATAAATATCTAAAGAATATTTGTACTCTTTAATATAACTTTGATTGGTATGTTAATGAAAGGAAATAGTAATAGTAAAGATAGTAACTGTAAGATTAAACTTATTAATGGTTTCTTTTCATTTAGACACTTTTAACAATCAAAGGGATTATAGACAATGTATGGATGTTTTTTATCAACATTGATTAAGGTAAAAATGGTTTTAAATGGTTCTCAATAGTTTAAATTACCATTTGAGACTTGAGCTACACCCCTCCCTGACCATGGAATTATACTGGTTAATTCATTTTCATAGTTAGAATGACCTAATCTGTATCATTAGTTTCCTACATTGGAAAGCTCTTTGATTCAATATGTTTCTCTGTTTCCATTTCAATTATTTATTCAATGAATAATAAACCTTATGAGTGATTAACCTATTTCCATCAATACATTAGTACACAACCTTATGTGTAGGTTTCTTCTAGATAGTGATTAGTTGGAGCGAATCTATTTAAAACGAATAAAAACAAGAAGTAATCAATTGCATTTGAATATGCAAAACCTTTATATTTTGATATTAAGGAAAATAATGATTCCATTGATAGTAAATTTTGAAATCAAGCTAAATGTTTACTTTTGCATTTCAATGCTCTGGTACGGTCGAGAATGGGGAGAGTCAGCTTTCCCTCTCGAAATGTTTTCACATAATCACTGTCAAGGAACTCCTATATACTTTCTTCTTGTAGTGAGGATATTGTTTGTGAAATTGAGAGGACGAGAAGCGAATATCTGGCGCTTTAGATGGGTTGATGGACACGGAGGATCCATCTAAGGAAGATGGAAAACCGTGATTCTCTTAACCAGTGGTAAATATGGGTTCCAGGATGCTTAGGGAATAAATGACATCACCGAATACCATTGTGTAGTGAACAGAACACGGGTGGGGACAATCGAATGTATTTGACACGAAACTACAGGACATGTTAATAAAATTTAACAATCATATAGTAAGTGCTTAATCTACAAAATGTCCATCAATTGTCTCAAATGAATAAGACTTCCTTTGTTCTTGCATTTTTATACAAATTGCATTTTGTTTTCATTCTTTACTGTTCGATATTCTTGTCTCTCTGATGCCAGACATTCTGTTCACGACTAACATCATATACTACTTATGTCAATATAAGTAACACACACCACAATAGGATTGCATCTTCTCACGTTGCTTCACTGTTTTGTGAATCAGACCTTTATGTCAAAAGCTCCAGATGTGACCCCCTAACAAAATCACCTTCTTCAATCTGGGCACTGAGGTACTATCATAGCCCACACACACATACACAAATCAAGTGACTTGTGTAGTGCATATGTATACGGTACCCTTTTATCCTAATATTTATGCATTCAAACAAATAAACAATAATTTCAATAGTTGAAGCCATGAGTCAATTAAAGCTAGACCATCATGAAAATCCTAAATGCATTGGACAGCCGTTTTATCTTAGTATGGAACTCCTCAGCAGTGTGCATGCACGATCCTGAACCCCCCCCCACCTTCGCGAGATTCGAACCCAAGACCTATCAGTCTCACCCGTGAGCATTTAACCAACTAAACCACTGAATCATTCATCATTCAACGGTGTTAATGTCTAACTCTTCAACCAATTGACTCATAATTTCAACTATCTCCACAAAAATCCCTTTTGAAAATAAACAATAAGTCCCATATATATATAAAACGTTTACCTTTTAATAATGTAATCATTTAATGAATTATTATTATTATTATTATTATTTCAGATTTCCTATCTCATACTAAACACACTACACAATATGATAATAATAATAATATACATAAAACCAATGATTATATTGATGAAATATTTACAGATATACAAGATGATTTCACTTGGCAATCGAATTCACCATGTTCTTCAGAATCGATTGATTCATTTTCATATCATCATAATGATTTAAAATATTCTATAGATGATTATTTATTATCTAATGAAAAATTATTCTCTTTTCATAAATCAACTGAATATATAATGAAAGATAATAATAATAATAATAATAATAATAATAATTATCATAAAACAATGAATATATTGAATCGATTAAATTATTATGATCATTCATTAGATTCATTATTATTATTTGATTCAATCAAACAAAATTATTATTTAAATGAATATAATAATCATAATAGAAATGATAAAGAATTTATGAATAATATAAAAGAACAAACAAAACGTATTATAAATTCTATTAATGAAGATGAATCTCATTTGAAAAGTACAGATATAGCTTGGATGGATACATTAGATGTTTCTAGTAAGTGATTATTATTATTATTATTATTATCAGAAGGGATTGTGTGGAGATTTTAGAAATTTCACTGGTTGAAATCATGAATCCATTGAAGCTAGACCACCATGGAAAACCTGGAAGCATTGGACGGCCGTTTCGTCCTAGTATGGGACTCCTCAGCAGTGTGCATCCACGATTCCGTTCCTCACGAGATTCGAACCTAGGACCTATCAGTCTCGCGCCAGGCGCTTAACCAACTAGACCACTGAGCCGGCCGGCATCCAACGGTGTTAATGTCTAACTTCAACCAATCCACGAAGTTGCACCACCGTACACCATTGTCTTCAGTGAGCTGATATCTCACAACAGACCTGGTTGAACTTCACTGGTAACGGCTTCTCACTAGAACTTCAGGAGTATCTCTTGAAGTCAGTCACTAGTGAGCAGATGATTATTATTATCAGAAGGAATTGTGTGGAGATTTTAGAAATTTCACTGGTTGAAATCATGAATCCATTGAAGCTAGACCACCATGGAAAACCTGGAAGAGGTTTTTGTGGATATGACAGTGATTTTTAATAGTTGATATCATAAGTCAGTTGAAATTAGATCATCATGAGAAAATCTAGAATGATTTAGATGAATGTTTTATCTTACTGTGGGATTCTTCAGCAGTAGGTATCCATGATTGTACCAATTGATTTTGAGCTCAAACACTTAACCTCTAAACCACTGATCCGGATGATATTGAACGGTGTTAATGTTTAATTTCAATTAATCCATGAAGTGTCGGATAGTTGTGTTAGGTTTTGAAAGAGAGAGAGAGAGAGATCACGGGTTCACGTAGTTTGAGAACGAGATCGAGGATTCGGTGACCAAAGTCCAGTAAGCTATCTATTGACGCGTCCCAGCCCCGCTACTAGAGTGAGAAAACCAAGCTTAGAATGAAAGTATATTCTGTAACAACCAGAAAACCAGCAAACTTCTTTTCAAAGACAATTTTAAAACGTATATATACAAATATATATAATCGATATTGTCATTTAAATTTTTTAAACATTCATCAATAAGTTCATCAATTGATTGCTATTCAAATATTTAAACATTTAATCGATAAGTTAAATTTAATCCATGAAGTGTCGGATAGTTGTTTGGTTCTATTGTGGGATTCTTCAGCAATAGGTATCCATGATTCTACCTTGTGAAATTCAAATCCAGGATCTAATAGATCTTGTGCGCAAATGCTTAACTTCAAGACTACTGAACTAGTAGGCATCTAATGATGTTAATGTTTAAACTACTTTAACTAATCCATAAAATTGAGCAACACATGTATCATTGTCTTAAGTGAGTTACTATCTCAAAATAGGACAAAATGACTGTCCAGTGCTTCCAGGTTTTTCATGGTAGTCTAGATTTAATGAACTCATGATTATGTAGCAATTTAGTTATCATATACAAATTCATTATGTTTATATTTGTTATGTATTATGATGTGATGTGTAATGATAGTATCAAGACTAAGCAATAATGGCATTCAAATGTCAAACAGTAATTAAAATTTCAATATTTCAACTGTGAATGATAATGATCAGTTGAAAATCTACTGAACACCAGTCAGTAATAAAAAAAATATAGAGTCAATCTTTCAAGATATTGGTAGATGAGATTGAAATTCCATGGATAATCTTAATCAATGATACATCATTAACTTGTTGAATTAATTTAGTGGTCCAGAATCTGACTTCAGTAAGATCGAATGAATGATCATTATTGAATGATTGTTATTGATATATACATGTCATCAATCATCGTATATCATTGTCAAGTTAACTCGCGTTAATAAAAGAAAAACGGAAGTGAATAAGTCCAAAACGAGAATGACGTTTGAATGAGTAGATTTCATACAATCGGTTGATCTGAGAAACAAAGCTAAGAAAGCAAAGCAAAATGATGCGCAATGGAGAAGGTAAGTGAGCCAACTTCATTTAACCAATCGTCAAAGAGATATTTATAGTCTGATAAAAAGAAGTTACAGACATGTGATAAATAAAAGATGCACACAACTTCCGTTTGCATAGAAACAGTCAGAACTAAATGACAGAGTCAAAATATATCTTGAGTAGGGTAAATAGATTAATCTATTCATAGGTTACCATAACCCATATGGGTTTGATATATTACTAACCCCTACATCAACCATTCACTATGCTATGATCTGATTGCATTTAATAATGTAGAAATACAAACAAATTAGTGAACACAAATCTAACACAATAAGATCAACATAAATACGCTTTAACTGAACTTTCACTATATTGTCAATAACTTTAGATCTAGTTTTTAATGATTGAAAAGATAAAAGTAAAAAGACAGTTTATTCTTTGCCTCAGTTAATGATATTAAAACACAAAACACTTGACTATTTATAAATATTTACGGTATCTATGTGAATCAGCTAGTTAAAGGGTCAAAATCAATAAGTCAGTAATTCAGTTCATTCTTCGTTGTAATCTAATATGAGTGAAACTGTAAATTAAGAGTATCATTTATACATTCATGGATGAAATATTATCTTCTTAGATTATTATAGTTAAATAAGGTTTAAGGTAAGACGATCTTTGAACGATGCTAGACTGACCTTGACAGTGTTCACTTAATAACCAAGATCAAATGAGGGTTATAAACCTGGGTGAAGAATTCAAATTATCATTTGCAGTTGATGGTTAAAGTTAGAAATTAGATTTAGGATTTTCATTACGAATTGATATCAGCCAGATGAATGAATGAATTTCGCGCCAAAATCCAAAACCTGTTAACTTATGCTTGATTGGTTCGTCGGAGAATAATTGATTATTGAGAATATAGTTTAGTGTAATTTACTAGTTATTATCTTGTTTATAGTGAACGCGAACAAAAGCGCGGATAATCAAATTTTCCTATTGTGGGACTCTTCAGCAGTGCGCATCCACGATCCCGCTAGCGGGATTCGAACCCAGGGCCTTCACTTGTAAAAATGTCAATCAATCGACTTAAACTTCATTGTTTTTCCATTTTCACACTAATCATTTTCTGTACTCGCTCTCTTTCTTTGATCGTCTTCACCTTCTACCATCAGGTATTTCACTTTCAATTGATGATACATACTACTTATATCTGTAGACATCAGTATCACACACGATTAACTTTTACATCTTATTAATAGAATCTTCAAATATATACCAATATGTAATGTTTAGTAATTTTAAAAGAACATAGAGTAGCTATAGATCATTAGAATTGTATGTTTTAAAGGATAAACTACTGAAAACATGTTTAATCATGTTCAAAGATTTATATACTTTCAAAAACAATATCTTAATATGTGAATTATAGAATAAGGACATATTCATTTGTTTGAAACTTCTGTTACTTATCAGAATGAGGAAACCTTATATATTTAAGAGATGTAATCACTTTGATTATTCGAACCTTTGGTTATTAAGATCGCTATATCCTAGGCTTATTTTAGATACGTTGACTTGGACGACCAACCAATGACCTATACATCAGTATAAACAACCCAGAGTTCCGGCTGGTCCCTTTAGCGCCTAGCTCCACATGTTAGGTGGAGAACACCAATTTCACCTTCCGCCATACGAAACATATATTTTAAACATATTGAGTTTAAATACAAACAAATCAGACCACATCATATCATCAAATAGAAAATAACAATTATACAAGATCAAGCCAAAAGTGGCTGTAATTGTAAGAGACTCTAACTTAAGAACAATAAATCATATGGTAGTAATCAATAGGTCAAATGGAAGCTTATACTGAAAGGAATATGAATATACACATAATATAGTCACTTAATAGTCATACAATAAGAATATAGGTATAATATTAGTCCATAAGTAATTCCTAACAGTTATCTCTTATTTAATCTCGTCTGGATATAACAAAAGTAATCGAACCAATGAGATATTCTACTAAAGAAGTACAAAGAAATGACATACACTACAGCACTTATGGATTAGTTTCGAATTGCTTTTTATCATTTGAAGTAGGCACTTATAGTGTTAAGATAATTCAACCCATGTGATGTAGGTTTATCAAGGGCGTCCACTCTAGCTAGAAATAGTCTCGATCTTTGTCAATAGAAGCTTTACATTATGTATGATTTGTTCATTATGATGCACTTATATTATAAATACTTACTTGTTAGGTAAGTTAATGAACAAAGATATTTTGCATACGAATGAACTCATATTAGAATAGAATTATGTACAGAGATTATTGATTGTTCTGACTGTGGAAGCATTACTTTTTATGGACTACAAACAAGGATTTTTCTATCTTCTATCGTACTGGCACTTGATATACCATGATATGTTTTCTCTCCACTAGTTAATAAGGACCGATTTAAATCCACTCTACTGCATCCGCTAATGTCCATCTGTGCTCATAACTAAGTGGATATCGCTGTTACTTTCGAAGAGGACGGTAGTGAGTTCGGGTCCCTGAATGAACATGAGCTCAGGTGCAGATGCATTCAACTGACAAGTCCCAAATGAGATGAGACACGCCATTTGGATTCTAATGCCACCCATCGTCTAACTCAGTTTATAATATTCAAAACAGCGGTATTATTAAGACGATCCGCATAAGATATACATACGTCAAAAGCGACTGATCAATTGAAGTCTTAAACATCAATCAGAAGATTCGAACAATCTTTTTAAATCAATAAACTACAATACTAATAACTGAAAAGATGAAAACATTTCTGACTAGGAATTTTAGAAGGATCTAACCTTTCATTTTCCGAAACTCATCAATCTTCTCATATTTACCGAATTAAATTGCCTACAATCTATCAAATACCTTGATTTATTTAGTCAGAAAATTCTGTTAAGAGCATATACATAATGATAATTACTAGTTATATTGAAAATAGTATAATTAATGTTAACTAGACTCATGTTTCTACGTGAGATTAAAACCAGCATATTTCAATCTTGTGTGGTATGAAATATCATTGATTCAATGAGTTGGTATTTAACAATCTACATTTTCAATTTACTTAAACTATGATATAGGAGTGATATTTATTATTGTAGAATTAGTCAACGTCATATTTCACGGTTTCATAATGAAACTGTGGAAAGACAATATCGACACTAGTTACCAAAAATCATATGGATTCTTCTTAATTTAGTTTATAATTGATTAAACACTAGGTGGTGATCAACGTCATGTATGTCAGATCCTTCTTAATGAAGATCGAATCCTATCGACCAGGTTATAATATGTCCATCGATCTAAGTTACTCGACATTATGTGCACTATGTTGAGATCAGTTAGTGATGAGTGTTAGTCATCAGGAAGCCGTGGGCCTAAGTTTCGCGCTACTTGGCACTCGTCAGCAAGGTGTACCTGTAATCTTGGGTGAACTGATGCTCCCTGACGGATTCAATCCCATGTCACCCAGCGAATTAGGTGTTTTATGTAGATATTGGTAACTAAGTCTAACTGAATATCACGTTTTTCCAGCACATTATAAAACAAGACTAATGTTTGATCTTTATTTACTCTTGAAATACAACTAGAATAGTGTCGAAGATATTTCCATCAAATCTTGTTTCGTTTCATTAGATCTGCTTAATGTTGATTAAGATTTCTCACTTTTTGACTTCACCACATACACAAAATTGTTAGTTTTAAACATAAGTCTCACAAAACACTTCTGTTTGATGATATCATTAACAAAAGTGACAATTTTTTTATATGATTTTAACAGTAATTATATACATATATAGATTACATATATAGATTACAGGTACACCTTGCTGACGAATGACAAGTAGCACGAAACCTGGGTCCATGGTTTCCTGTCGACTACCTCCAACCACCATCTAATCGTACAATAGTGCCCGCAGTGTCGAGTCACCTAGACTGGTGACCACATTGCAACATGATCGATAGCATTCGATCTGCACTAATAATAAGGACTAGACACGCGTGAAATTGGTCACCCAGTGATCAATCAATTGTGATTACATTCGTAACTCCAATGTCTCCAATGGAAAAGATTCTATATGAATTCCATGAAATTTTAAGAAAACATTTCAGTTACTTGTAAAAATATTAAGTAGTATATAAAATTCTCACCAAATTTCTAAAATTCACTTGGTATAGTTTGTTTAAAACTTCCCATTGATGTTTACGACGGCAATTGGTCAGTCTCCTATCGGTATAGCTACATAGTGTGCGTATCGCCTCGATATATTGTCTTAAGTCTCAAGCACTATATGCAAAGATGTATAGTGGCTAGTAGTGGAATCCAGGACGTGCGTTTCGTCCTATTTGGGACTCGTCAGCCGGATGTGCCTGAGTCTCAGAGTTGATGTTCACTCTGCGTTTCGAACTCAGTACCGTTAGCTTCAAAAGATATCGCGTTATCCACTTGGCTATTGAGTTCTAGTGTATACAAATTTGTCAAATCCACTTATGAAATATCATGTCGAGGTGGGATTTAAAAACGAAACTGGATGTATGATTATGAATCAAGTGGATATGATAAGAGTCAGTATTTTACATCAAATCCATCGAATAAAGAATTTCGGATGGATGAATAAAATTTTATATGTAAATAAATATGATATACAAGATCAATTGAAGTTAGAGATTAACACTGTTTGATGCCGGTTCAGCAGTCTAGAGGTTAAGCATTCATTCGTGAGACCAAATGTATTGGGTTTGAGTCCTTTTAGTGAGGAATCATAGAGTCACAATGCCGAAGAGTCTCATACTAGGATGAAACGGCCGTCAACCTTTTCCAGGTTTTGAATAGTAATCTAACTTATATTGAATCGTGAATTCAATTGTTAAAATATAAGAAAGAATAGTTTTGTACAATTTTGTCTAAATTTCAATAATATTCCTGTTTGACATAATCTTCTCCAATGGTATAATATCATGAAAGAATCCATTTAAATGGATAATATCATACATTAAAAAGGAAGAATGTTGTATTTGTGAAAATCTCAGTGAATGAATCTGAAGTATATCCAATGTTTTCACCTGACAATCTGGTTCAAGCTTTTTTAAGAAAATGTAATCATTCATCAAAACTATCAAATACAATTAAGGTACATGATACTTCGATTCATTGTATACTGATTGAATAGATCATCCAGTTTATGTTAACAATGTTTAATGTAGGCATTTGCATTAAGGTGTAAGAGATTTGTGGTATGAAATGAAAAATATGTTAAGATAACAGATTGTATGTATATGTAAATGGTGTGAGAAGCGATTTCATTCACTATATATTGGCTATGGTTAGTGAATATTAAGGAAAACATATAATTTTTATAAATGATATGAATCAAAAATGTCACAGTATGTATAAAATGAAGATAAATGAATGAATTCAAAGAGGAAGAACGTATATGTCATTGAATGTTTGCGTTCCAGCTAATTATTTAACATAGTCAGTGATCTAGCACTCGCGCGCGAGACTGACAGGTCCTGTGTTCGAACCCCGAGTGGCGGGGTCGTGGATACCGCAGTGCTGAAGAGTCCCACAATGGGACGAAACGGTCGTCCAGTAGTTCTAGGCTTTCCATGGTGGTCTAGCTTTAATTGGCTCATGATCTCAACCACTGAAATTACTACAATCTCTACAAAACCTCTTCTGATACCATTCAGATATGACAACTGATTAGAACTTTTGAATGTCATTGCTGTTATTTAGATAATACGAGATAGATAAAATGGAATAAAGAGTTCAGATTTACTTATTAATTATTAGTTGCCATGGGACACCTGATTGTATTCCATCTCTCCTATTAACACTATTTGGGTTTACTTATATGTATAAGGCTTCAGCTGTTAGTCTTTCTTTGTAAGAACTAAAACCTTTTTAAAAAATTCTTGTACTATTGAAATCAATTGTATAGCCCCATTCTATCGAGTATTATACTATCGCTAACTATCTGTCAAGTTTTCTTACATCAATTGAAGATTTAGAAATGTGCTTTAAGCATAATTTGTATTCCTTCACCCTCATATTCAGTTGTCTTAATGTTTCACCTACATACATTACATTACAATCATTATAGTTGATTTCATAAACACAATTCAATGGTGGTCTAGCATCAACTGACTCATGATCTTAACCATTGAAATTACTACAATCTCCATAAAACCCCTTCTGATAATAATCAACATATGCTCATTAGTGACTGGCTTCAAGAGGTATATCCCGGAGTTCTAGTGAGAAGTAGTGACCAGTGGAGTTCAACCAGGTCTGTTGTGGGATAGTAATTCACAGATGACGATGGTGGATGCGTCGCTCAATTTCGTGGATTAGTTGAAGTTAGACATGAACACCGTTGGATGCCGGTTAGTTCAGTGGTCTAGTGGTTAAGCGCTCGCGCGCGAAACCAGTAGGCCCTGTGTTCGAATCTCGCAGGGGGCGAAGTCGTGGATGCGCACTGCGAGATTCCTATAATAGGGTGAAGCGGCCGTCCAGTGCTTCCAGATTTTCCATGGTGGTCTAGCTTCAACTGACTTATGATCTTAACCATTGAAATTACTATAATCTCCACAAAACCCATTCTGATAACAATGCTATTGTTCATCCTTATATATTGAAATCCTTGATTTTTTACTAGTTTGTAAGAATACTCTTATATTTTAAAGAGAATATCATATTTTTGCAAGGATTCCTTACTAGAAAGAGTTTTTCTTCTATGAAATTTATTTAGGTTTACGTATGGATGATGCTGTACAAATTTTTTCAACAGTTAACTCATTAAAATCTACATCCGAAGAAATCAATAAACTTGATCATTCAATATCATCATCTTCATCCTCATCCTCATCGTCTTCATCTTCATCATCATCATCATTTCAACATAATTACGATTTGAATCATAAACGTTTACAACTGAATCCAAATTCAATATTCAATGATAATGAATCCATTTCTAATGAAAAGGAACACTCTGAACATAATGAAAAGAATAATGATGAATATAATTCAGATAGTACATTAACATGTTCTGAAGCTGAATATTATAATAATTTAATACGTCAAAAACGTTTAAGAAAACATCGAACTAATAAACGAAAATCTAAGCATAGATCAATCATTTCAAATAATGAAGATGATTCCAATACCTCATCATCATCATCATCATCATCATCACTGGAAGAAGAAGATGAGGAGGAGGAGGACGACGACGACGATGACGACAACGACGAGAAAGAGGAGAAGAAGGTGAAAAAAGCTGAAAAAATGATAAATAATCGATGTAAAAAGTTTACTTATCATACAATTACTACTAATTTACATCATCGAAAAAATACTACATCAGAACAGTATATACAATCATCTAATGAAATAAATGAATATGAATCATGGTGGCCTAATCCTGTAACACGACGTATGTATAAAGATTTTCATTCAACACTTTGGTTATTTAATGAATCATTCAATTGTAATGATCAGAAAATGATAAATAATGATATGAATGATAAGGATATAAAACAATCTATTATAACAAATCATCAAATTAAATCAAGAAAATATCGAAAGGGTTATCATTCCAATTCACATTCACATAATAATCATAATCGATATAAAAATAAACAAATGGAATTATGGCAATTTATATTATATCGTTTAGAATTAAGTAAAGATAGTGCATTTCAATGGGTTAATAAATCTACTGGATTATTTCGTATTGTAAATACACAATTAGCAGCAAAAGAATGGGGTTATTATCGTAATAATAAATTAATGGATTATGAAAAAATGGCAAGAGCTATAAGGTATGTAAAGATTACAATTTATCATTATAATAAACTTATTTATATTCGAAGCACTGGATAGCCGTTTCATCTTATTGTTGAACTCTCCTGCAGTGCTCATCCACGATCCCGCCCCTCCCCGCGCGAAATTCGAACCCAGGACCTATCAGTCTCACGTGTGAACGCTTAACCACTAGAGCACTGAGTCGGCCGGCATCCAACGATGTTAATGTCTAACTTCAAATAATTCATGAAATTGAGCAACATATTCACCAATGTTTTTAGTAAGTTACTATCCCACAATAGAACGAAACGGCCGTCCAGTGCTTTCAAGTTTTCAATGGTGGTCTAACATCAATCGATTCAAGATCTCAACCACCCTATACTGATTATTTATACTTATTTATATTCAACTTACTATTGTGTTCTAATGATTTGTTTATTATCACCTGACTAAATCTTCAATCAGAACACTGACTTATATGACTTTGGTACTGGGTTATACCAATTATACGTTAACCAATACAAACAGCATAGAGTTCTTGGTTCTTTTCGCCTAATCCGGCCGGTCCAGTCCAGAATACCAATATCAGCTTCCACTGTATGAATTTCAGACATACGCAGTTTATATACAAACAAACCAGACCGTATCATACCATAAAATAGAAAATAACAATTACATAAGAAGGGGTTTTGTATATATTATAGTAATTTTAATAGTTGAATTTATGAGTCGATTCAAGCTAGATCACCGTAGAAAATCTAGAAGCAATGAACGGTCGTTTCGTTCTGGTATGGGACTCCTCAGCAGCTCGCATCTACCATCTTGCACGACGGACTCGAACCCAGGCCAGTAGAGTTGAGCCATGTCTGTTGTAGAGGCAGTTACTCACTGAAAACAATGGTAGACAGTTGCGCAATAGCATAGATTGGTTGAAGTCAGACATTAACACCGTTAGATGCCAACCGGATTAGTGGTCTAGAGGTTAAGCGTTCACGCTCGAGACTGATAGGTCTTGAGCTCGAGGTGGGATCGTGGGTGCGCAGTGATGAGGAGTTTCACGATAGGACAAAATCGCCATCTAGTACTTCCAGGTTTCGAATGATGGTCTAGTTTAAGTCGACTCATGAATTCAACTATTGGAATTACTACAATCTCCACAAACACTCATTTCAGAAATATGTTACCGCCGTTCTACAAACTATGGTAGAACTTAAAAACATTCCATCAAATATAAAGTGAAACTGATTAAAAATTAATTAACGGTTAGAGAGAAAAAAACAGGGAAGAATACTAAAAGAGAAAAACGGCGGGAAACGATTATTTTTGAATAAAGAACAAAATATTTTATGACTCAAAATGGTCTCTTTAATTCAGAAATTAAAATTACTGCTGTCGAGACTATAATTTATGAACGAACCAATCAGATTTAAAATAGCAGGTCTTGAATTTTGGCGCGAAATTCATTCACTTATTTGTCTGAATAGCTTGTTAGCATTTTAGCTGATATCAGTTTATGATGAAAACATTAAATCTAATTTCTAACCCTAAGTTCTCATACTAATCTATAACCCTCATTTGATCCTAGTAAGTAGGTGAACATTCTCAAGATCACTTTAGCGTCGCTCAAAGATCATCATCGGTTAAAATTTATCTCAAGAAGAATGAATAAATTAGTCTATATGGAAGATAGAATGACCCATGTAGGTTTGACATGGATACTAGACACTACAATAATGATGTAAGTCCAATAGTTGAAATCATGAATCAATTGAAGCTAAACCATCATGGAAAACCTGGAAGCACTGGACAGCAGTTTCGTTTTATTTTAGAACTCCTCAACAGTACGCACCCACGATCCCGTCCCCCCCCCACCGCAGGACTCGAATCCTCAGTGGTCTAATGGTTAAGCACTCACGCGTGAAACTGATAGGTCCTAGGTTCAAATCTCGCAGGGAGGGGGGCAGGATCGTGGATGCACACTGTTGAGGAGTCCCACAATAGGTCGAAACGTTCATCTAGTGCTTCCAGGTTTTACATGATAGTCTAACTTCAATTGATTCATGATCTTAACCATTAAAATTAAATTATACTTGATTATCTATTTTCTTTTCTTAATCACTATGATTTCCATTTTTCTTTATTTCTTCTCTAATCAATTATTGAATGAATAGATTTTATTATAAAGATTCAATATTACGTAAATCACGTCAACAATTACATTTTCAATTTGCTATGCCATATGTAAAATGGGCAGAAAAATTTTATGAAAATAAAAAAAAATTTTTTAAAAATTCCTCTTCATTTTGAAAACAACAAAAAAAATTTCAAAAACAAAAAAAAACACCCCAGCAACTGTACATTTTTATTGTATTCCTTTTTGTTTTTATTTAATTGTTTATATTATCCATTACAGTTTGTTGAATTCTTGTGAATATTATTGATTTATGTTATCCAACAAAAAAAAAAGAAAAAATAGTGTATATTGATAAGAATCTTTATATTTTAGTGAAATGGGTTTGTGGTTATAATAACAACTGAATATAGGATGAGTATTATATCAAACTTAAGATTGATCAGCTGAATTGATCAATGTTTTATTATCTCTAGTCTGAGTCATGTTGAAGTCCGTGTAACTATCGTAACTAATCGTTGGAGACTCTGAATGACACACACTCTCTATCTTCCCTTAAACTGTGAGATTGAGATTATTTTATTGCTTAATTTCTACGAACTAATTCTTTCTTCTTGTACTATATCCTTATTTACAATATTTCTTTTATATATTACCACCATTGAAGTAACTACTGAGGTGTGAGCTACTTATATCAAGACAAGTAGTATATAATGATGGTCAGAAATAGAATGTATGTTAGTAGAGCGAGAAGGAAAGAACAGAAACGGAAAGCAATTGATATGAGAATGCACGAACAATGAAATCTGAGACGATGGACTGATTTTTCCAAAAGGAGCAGTCAAGTTTGAGACGAATTTACTGTATGGTTCTCAGATTTTAGTGAGATGTTCTGTAATTTCAGGTTCAAATACATTCGATCGTTCTCACCCGTGTTCTTGTTTACTACACTATTTCTATGAATTCGGTGTTCATCTACATTTCTGGTAATGATGTATAGCAACTTGGACCAAGGCACATATATGTCTGGTCCTACGTTGTAGCTGACTGACTGACTAACTGGCAGTATTTCTCTTTACATTGAGTTTCAGATTCAATAACCAATGCCTTATATGACAAGGTTCAGATAACTACTCACTTATTAGATAGATAGGAACACAATGGTAAGGGAGTATGTTTTCTCATCATCGATATTAAGGACTTGGGTTAATAAATGTTTATCGGTTTACGATACATAAGTCTGACAGTGACAAGTCAGTTTCAGTCCATAATGTAAATAACAAGCAAATAAAAACTTTTACAAATGAATTTGTCACAAATTAATATGATCTGAAGAATCATCGAAGAATGAAAATAGTTGAAATGACAACAAGAAAAGAGAATCATTCCTAACAATTATAAACGTTTTAAGCGCTATATATACTTCTGTTATGCTTTTTATGTAATGTAAAATAAACTTGATTTATTTGTCACTTCCACGAAAAGAGTTGAAAGTCGTTTTCTTAATGTAGATGTTCTTATCCATGTATTATGGCTACACACACATTCTGTTTCAATCAGTTTCTAGTATTATAAGCAAAGATGAATAATGGCTAGCAGTGGAATAAAGGATGCGTATTTCGTCCTATTTGAAACTTGTTAGCTGGAAGTACCTACATCTCAGAGTTGATGTTCACTTTGGGACTCGAAATCAGTATCGACTGCTTCAAATGCCATCGCATTATCCATTTAGCTACTGAGTCCTAATAGCCACTATATTGTGCAATGGAGTGAAGTTAAAAATTCACTTGATATTGTTCACTTCAATCTTCCTATTGATGTTTAGGACTGCATCATTATTAATATTATTGAATTACATTTAAATTAATGAGTACACGATTTTCAATTTTGTTCCGTATATCAGGCATCCCTGAATATCGATGAATCAACAGTTGTACAAAACTCCAAGTCTCACTGTTAAATTGAAACAAACTTAGGATAGATCTAATAAATACCTAACGATAGTATTTAATTAAATGTCATCCAAGATCGTATGAAGGTCATGAAATTCATCACTAAGTTATACAATGATTGAAGAACTATTGTAGTGAACGAGAACACAAGTGAGAATAACCGAATGTATGTGAATACAAAATTACAGAACCTCTTAGTAAAATCTGAGAACCATACAGTAAATACATCATTTGTAAAGTATTAATCAATTATCTCAGACTTGACTATTGCTTCTTTTTCACATCAATCATTCTCTGTTCTCGTTCTCATTTCTTTTATCTTCTTAACCTTCTACCTCAAGGCATTTCACTTTCTATTGACGATACATACTACTTATATCTATCGACATCAGTAGCACACACCACAAGATGACCTATAAATTAAGATACAATTCTCTAAATATACTATTGATTTATGATTTAAAAAAACTCAGTCACTTCAGATATGAAAATGCGGTCTGTTCAAAGGTTTAGGTTAACTAATTTCCAACTGAATAAATATTGCAATTACCTTTTTCGGTTGTAAATTGATTTGAAATGAGAATTGTAGGTTTGAACATGCTACTTATAAGATGTCACATCGAAGCACTCAAATTGTTGGCCTATTTTCTTGTTTGACTATTATTTGATACAACGATGAACGAATATATTGAAATGCATGCATCTTAAATATGATTTATTATTATTATTTTAACACATAAATATCGGTACAAGGAGGCACCAAATACGTATGCGTCACACAAATCTCATTGGATATGTGTGAGGGCTGTGATACTGCTCGGGTACCCAAACCGAAGCAGGTGGTTTACTTAGGGGGCCACACCCCGAGCCTTTGACCTGAAGATCTGATCCACAAGGCAGTGGAGCATCGTGAGGAGATGCAGTCCCATGATAGCCGGTGACCAACGACTGGTTCATACGCCATTTGTTCCCGCAGGATACTGAAGCCCATGTGCACCATAGAATTGGGATCCGGCTAAAGCGCCGGACATTCGCTCTTCGTCCTCTCATTTTCGTAAACAACACTTGTGCCACGAGAAGGCAGTGAGTAGGACTTCCCTGGCAGGGGCTGTATACGCGTGGCCATATGAGAGCATTTCGAGAGGGGGAGCGGACTCTCCCCACTCTCGGCCGTACCAGGGCATTTGGGGGCCTTACATATGATAGATGTAAAAAGGTATTTGCAACAGCTGTCTAATTAAAAATAACTTTTCGATTGAAGATGTACGAGAGATATGGGCAACTAAAATGGAGATCCCGAAAATTCCTCCAAAAAAAATGTCAAAAAAGGCTCTGAAAACTCTGAGAAGTATCGTATCTTATCAGGATTCGATATAAATTTTACCAGAAACATCTAGAAAGTGACAAGTCACATGTGGCGTTTCAGATTGGATGATTACCTATACTGTGCTATGATGTTCAGTAGCGTTCAAAAAAATTTCCGGAAACCAAAGACCATCAAAAATACTATAAATACCCTCGAATTCCTGTACATAAACGAACTTTTGGAGTAAAACGTTTAGTCTATATTTCTCTCGTGTTCAAGTGGCTGTGTAGATTTAGCCTGAAGGTTACCAGAGAGCATAGGAAATCGAATCAAGCGTTCAATTAAAAGACTTATGAATATCTTCTCAAATGATTACAAATTCATTGTATATTAAACCTAAACTTATTATAATATGGTAAAGTTTGTGCTAAGAACTCTTTGATGCATAAAGAATTCATAGTATTGAATGAATTTTTTATTAGAAAAGAAAATATACGTTAATTGATGTTGTTACATAAGCATGATTGTTACATATGTTACGTTAGATCATTGGAATATTGTGAAATATTCACTTATCAAGACAAGATTATAGCCTCATACTATTCAAACGATTGACTAGTAGTATTATGAATTCAATAACAGAAAAATCAAAAATATAGAACTTTCCAAAATGTTAAAACAATCTCAGTTAGTTAATCAGTCATCAACAGTATAGAACCTGGTAAACATTGGTTATAGTTACCATACTATATCAGTAAAATGCGATGAAATTATAATGATGAATATGAAAAATAATAGAAATATTATTATTATTATTATTATTATTATTATTAGAGAAAAACATTGGAGATAGAGAAGATGATTCAAAAAGAAAAGTCAGTATTTAGTGCACTACTGTAACCGACTCTCCGGTTTGTTGCTAACCATTTCCAACAATTAATTATGATAATTAAACCGACTATAATTAAATAACCTGAAACTACTAAACTAACTCAAACCAATAATAATAAATAACTACATAAACTGAAAACATATTTTGGAATAACCATCATTAACTTCTTAAACCCTACTGTAACTTGTTGAAGAGACCTAGGAAATTCCTCAAATAAAATCCCATAGAGGCCCTAAAAATAATCTCTGATAAACATTTTATCCAATCAGTATTTAATAGAAGTACCTCAGAAACAACTAGAAAGGGAAGAGTCACATGTCACATTTCTGACTGAACGATTAGTTATCCTGCCACTATGTTTAGAAGAGTTCCAAAACTTTCCAGAAGTCAAAGGTAATCTGAAATACTACAAATAAATTGTGTTCCCTTATGTCAAGTTTAGTTCAGCCGATAAAAAAAACAGCAACCAGAAACATTATTGGAACTAATCAACTACTCATAAGATATAATGCCTAATTTCGGTCATTGAATTCAGTCTTTACTAGTAGTAATAAAAGACCAGATAATCTACGTTAATTTTGTAATTTTCTCTTTTTTACAGCTATAACTAATCTTTAGTATTACAGCATTAATACAGATGATGTACACTTTGATATAGAGTTGTAATTGTTGACAACTTAGTGAGAAAAAAAACCCAAATATGATCATCAAAACTAGTGTTTAATTTACTAAAATTTAGTAACCTAATTGTACAAACAGAATTAGATACATTGGGTTTCAAACATAATACTCAGTAAATAAAAGTCATATACTTTAATCAATGAACTAATCCCTATATGAAACAATTACCAATGAGCATTGAAAAGGTATTTGCCTGAAAATATCTTCATTACATAATATATTTTGCGTTGTAACCTGATGAATTAAAACATATTTGATTGATCCTATTATAGAGATTGAATAATCCCATTGAGGGTATTCTTCTGTGATTAAACTAAACCAACTCTAATCATACAACTATTTTCC